AATTATAATACTGAGGAGAATGTCCTTGTCACTCATGTCTATTGGCTGAAGCGAGGGGCATCTTTATGCATGCTAACATCGCTTTGTAAGGGTCTATTATTAGAAGTGACGGTGCTGGGTCAGGCAGCATGCATGCATTTAAGCTCAGCACTGCCGTGAGCTTTGTGACAATCCTATGCTCATGCACCCACGTCGGAGCGCTCACTCTCCCACAGCCTGTGACGCTGGCAGCGCGGTGCGGGGGGTGCGGGGTGGTTCCCCTGGGGCTGACTTCCTGCTTCCCTGGTCCCCACTTTGGTTCAGCCCTCAGTTTTCCCAAGACCCCCCTCCCCCTCCCACCCCGCCGGGCCGGCTGAGCTCTCCTCTCCTGGGGGAAGGAGGGAGGGACTGACACGTCTGCAGAAAGGCTGGTGACAGGCCTGAGTGCTGGATCAAAGCCGTTCCCCTGGCTCTGGGTTCAGACTCCCCGCCTGTGCCTGCGCCTCCATTCCAATCTGCACCCTCGGCCGCCCACACTCTCCCGCGCGCAGCTGCTCTCAGCGCGCGGGCGCCCCCTGCTGGCACAGGAGGGAGGGAGCCGGCGGCAGGGCCAGGACTCGGGTGGAGATGGGCAGACGGAGGTGGAGACAGATGCAGCCTTAGGGGCGCCCAAAGGGAAGGAGACACAGGGGGGCCCGCCACGCCCCGCCCTGGAGTCTCCAGGCCTGGCGCACCCCGTGTCCCGCCGGGGCTCAGCCCGACACGCAGGGCCCCGCAGCACCCAGCCGCCACCCCGAGGCGCGCCCTGCGCCCTCGGCGTTGCCTGTTCTGCCTCCGCGGGGTTGGGATGCGTCTTCCAGGCGCTCCCTCTGCCAGCTCACCCCGGGCCTTTGGGACCCGGCAAACCCTCCCCCGGACCCTCTGCCCCTCTCCCCGCGGCCCCATGTGCACCCTCATCTCCCCGCGGGGGTGCTCTCTGTGCAGATGTCAGAGCCGCCCCAGAGCAGAGGTTGAGGCTCCTTCTTGTTGTTTTAGCTCTGAGGACTCGAGCTGTGGACTCATGAGTGTGGACTCACTCGTTGCAAACCCCACTCCAGCCCAGCCAGCCTGGCTCAAGGAACCAGCGGGAGGTCCCGGTTCGATTCCTGGTCACAGCGCATGCCCGAGGTGCGGGCTCCGTCACCAGCTCGGCGTGCAGGGAGCAGCTGGTCAACGATTCTCTTTCATCATTGATGTTCCTCTCTCTCTCTCCCTCCTCCCTTCTGTGAGACACCGGCCAATTCACCCCCTTCTCTGATCTTCCATGACCTCACTGGGAAAGAGATTCTTCTTCTAAAGACCAAAGGTTGCCTTTGGCCTTAGCCGGTGTGGCTCAATGGCTAGAGCGTCAGCCTACTGGACTGAAGGGTCCCAAGGTTCAATTCTGGTCAAGGGCACATGCCTGAGTTGCAGGCTCAATCCCCAGTCGGGGGTGTGCAGGAGGCAGCCCATCGATGATTCTCTCTCATCATGGATGTTTCTCTCTCTCTCACTCTTCCGTCCTCTCTGAGTTAATAGAAATATAGATATATATGTTAGTATTATTTTATTTTTTTAAAGATTGCCTTTGCCCTGACCAGTTTGGCTCAGTGGATAGAAAGGTCCCTGTTTCGATTCAGATCAAGGGCATGGACCTTGGTTGCGGGCACATCCCCAGTAGGTGGTGTGTGCAGGAGGCAGCTGATGGATGTTTCTCTCTCATGGGTGTTTCTCACGCTATCCCTCTCCCTTTCTCTCTTTACAAATCAATATTTTAAATAATAAATAAATTAAAAAGGATTTGTCCACTCCTGTCCAGGAAATACAGGCTCCCCCAGAAGACAGACTCCCACATGCGGAGGCCCTAGGACTGCGGACTGCGAGCCAATAATGGTGATTGCTGTCCGTGGGCACGCCTCCCCTGCCAGGCCCCCTTCACAGACACTCAGCCACACGGGGCCATAGGGACAGGTGAGGAGACTGACAGCGAGACGAGGGGACACCATGGGCTCTCGGTCCCGTCACAGGCATTGTCCTGGTGGTTGGTCTGTTCCCAGCCGTGTGGACACTGCTGGTGGCCAGCCCAGGCCCCTAGGTGCTGCAAGCTCCGGGCTTTTCTCGTCCTCGGTGTATCTCAGATCCGGGGCTTTGCTGACAATGGAGGAGCTGCCCCCACAGGCTAGCCACCCCCCAGCGGGAACAAAGAACGCGCCTGTGCACAGGCCTTTCCCATGCAAACCCAGCAACCCGCAGCCTGGACTCCCACCACCTCCCGGGACGCAGCCCTCTGCCTGCTTGCCCCAGGGCCGGGCTCCAGACACCTGGGGCCCAGAGCCTGCTGAAATCACTCACACTCGCCATTCTCACCTGCTCGCCCTGCCTCATCGGTTCCTTTTTAAAATATAGCTTTAGCCCTAACCGGTGTGGCTCAGTGGATAGAGCGTCAGCCTGCGGACTCAAGGGTCCCGGGTTCGATTTCGGTCAAGGGCATGTATCTTGGTCGCAGGCACATCCCCAGTGGGAGGTGTGCAGGAGGCAGCTGATTGGTGTTTCTCTCTCATCGATGTTTCTAACTCTCCCTCTCCTTTCCTCTGCAAAAAAAAAAAAAAAAAAAAAAAAAAAAAAAATCAATAAAATATATTTTATTATATATATTTTAGAGAGAGGAAGGGAGAGGGAGATAGAAACACCAATAGGAGAGAATCATTGATTGGCTGCCTTCTGCATGCCCTCTATTGGGGATCCAGCCCACAACCCAGGCGTGTGCCCTTGACTGGAATTGAACCCAGGACACTTCAGTCTGAGCCAAACCAGCTAGGGTTCTGCCGCAGCTGTCCCTTCTTGAGGGAACCACAATAAATGCTCTTCCTGCCGGGACCGGTTTGGCTCAATGGATAGAGCGTCGGCTTGGGGACTGAAGGGTCCCGGGTTCGATTCCGGTCAAGAGCATGTACCTTGGCTGCGGGCACATCCCCAGTAGGGGGTGTGCAAGAGGCAGCTGATTGATGACTCTCTCTCATCGATGTTTCTAACTCTCTCTCTCTCTCCCTTCCTCTCTGTATAAAATCAATAAAAAATATTTAAAAAAAAAAATAAAAATAAAAAATAAATGCTCTTCCTCTCTCCCCCTCGGCCTTCTCCTGACCCTGGGGCTTCCCCATGTGGCCCTACATGGCTTAGAATATTCCCTTCTTTTTCAAAGAAAAACACACATATTTTTATTAATTTCAGAGAGGAAGGGAGAGGGAGAAAGCTGGAAACACCAATGATGAATCACTAATTGGCTGCCTCCTGCACGCCCCCTACTGGGGATTGAGTCCACAACTCGGGCACATGCCCTTGACCAGAATCGAACCTGGGACCCTTCAGTCCAGGCTCAGTCCCTAGTGTGGGGCGGGAAGGAGGCAGCTGACCGATGATTCTCTCTCATCATTGATGTTTCTCTCCCCCTCCCGCTCTCTTCCTCTCTGAATTAAATAAAAATTTATTTTTTTAAAAAGAAAATGCTGAGCCGAGACTGGTTTGGCTCAATGGATAGAGCGTCGGCTTGGGGACTGAAAGGTCCCAGGTTCGATTCCGGTCAGAGGCATGTACCTTGGTTGCGGGCATATCCCCAGTAGGGGGTGTGCAGGAGGCAGCTGAACGATGTTTCTCTCTCATCGATGTTTCTAACTCTCTATCCCTCTCCCTTCCTCTCTGTAAAAAAATCAATAAAATACATTTTTTAAAAATGGTGAAAGTTCTGCTTCTTCCCCTAGATAGCTCACTTTGGGGAGCCCCGAGCTACCTACCAGGTAAGGAGTCTATGCCTCTATGGGGAGGCCATGTGGAGAGGGAGAGGGTGGAGACTACGCAGAGAGGGAGAGAAATCCAGATGCCCACAGCCCAGGCGAGGCCGGCCTGGGAGCCATCTCCCTGCGAGCAGCATCGTGGGATTGGCAGCCCATTGGGCCCTCGCTGACATCAGATGGTGCTGAAGAACTGCCTTGCTGAGCCCAGTCCACCCACGGAATTGTGAGCCATCATACTTATTATTTTAAGATGCTACTTTTTGGGGTGGTTTGTTATTCGGTGATAAAAACCCAAACTGGGACCTCCCTTTGCCTTAAAGGCCCAGTTCCCTTTTCCTCAAGGTGGGAACGGCCCTGCACCTTTTATTTATTTATTTATTTTAATTTGGCTTTATTGATTTTTTAGAGAGAGAGGAAGGGAGAGAGGGAGAAAAACGGATAAGAGAGTAATATCCTCAATCGGCTGCCTCCTGCCTGCACCCCTCCTGGGGATGGAGCCCGCAAACCAGGCATGTGCCCTGACGGGGAATCGAACCGGTGATCTTTTGTTTCCTGGGCCGACACCAGCGGGGCACGACCCTGCAACCTAATCCATCCTCCGGGTTTGGGCAGATCAGGACTTCATCTGACAGCCTCCTCCGGTGGTCTTCCCCGCCTCACCGCCCCGTTTCCCCACTCCTTTCACGTCTCCCGGGAGCGTTTCTTTAATCAATCATGCACACGGGAAGGTCGCCTCAGGCTCCGCTCAGAATGTGACCTGGGCCACGAAGATGTTTCTGGTTTTCTCACCCCCAACCAGAAGCCACGGGTCTGGCTCCCGAGTGTCCCTCCCCACTCCTCCCTCCCGCCCCCCCTCCACATCCCAAGAGCACAGAGCCCCTTCCAGATGCCCCAGCCACGGCAGCCGCGTATTCGGTGGGATGAGAAGACATCGGAGAGGTCTCTGCAGAAAGCAACAAGCAGCTTGTTTGCCCCGGGCGGGCGGCAGCCAACAGAGCCCCTGGCCCCAGCACACAGCCCTTGGAGGAAAAGTCAGGGGGCTGGTGTGTCCGGCAGCAGGTTAGGGCCCAGGCGAGAGGAGTGTGGCTTCTGATCCTGGGTCTGTGGTGGGAGGGGGCCCTCCCAGCCGTTCCAACCCCTCCCTCAGGGAGCCTGGGTCTCGGTGACTCCCCATCCCTGCCAGTCCTCCATCCCTGGAAACGCTAGAACCCATCACCAGGGACCCTCCAGCAGGTCCCACAGCCGGGGGCCGCCGGAGTCAGAGAAGACGCTGGGGGCTGGGGGGCCACAGCCCAGCGGAGGACCCCCGCTCAGAGCTTCCAGCCAGTCCAAGGAGTCCGTGGGGCCCCTGGGAGAGGCGGGTGGGAAGTTTGTGGGGGACGGGAGCGAGGAAGAGAAGACAGAGCAGAGGCCTTCAGAGTCTGGGGAAGGGGACAGCACGTCGAAGGAGCCAGGGAAGTCCAGGGGGATGGGGGGCAGCAGGTCTGCGGAGGGGAGGGGGGGAAGAAATGGAGTGTGAGCTTAGGAAGGCGGGGATCCGGCCCCAAGTCCCGCAGGGGTTTCCCGTTTCCAGGAGTCTCAGCCCCCTTCGCCCCCCAAAATCTAGGAGTTCGGCTTTTACCATCAGGCTCCTCCTGAACGTCCAGGATGTCATCGATGCCCCGGTTCGGAAGCAACTGCGGACAGGCAGACGCGGAGTGACCCTGGGACTCTGGCCCGAGTCCCGACCGGAGCCCACTAGCCCGCTGCCTCTCACCTGCGCCCTCCGGATCGCTTCCTGCAGTTCCTGCTCCAGAGTCGGGGCTGCCGCGGCTGGTGCTGCGGCTGGTGCTGCGGGAGGGGTCGGTTCTGCAGCCAGAGCCGGAGCTGGAGCCAGAAGCGGAGGCGGAGCCGGAGCGGCAGCCGGAGGGGGCACGGGGGTTCCCACGGCAGGAGACGGAGGCGGTGGGGGAGATGCCGGGCTGGGCTTGGACTAAGAATCCAGAGGAGGATGGTCCTTTAAGCCACGCCCACCAGGCACAAACCCCGCCCACTCCTAACCCGAGGCTCCACCCCTGGCCCTGGCCCGCCTTTCCCTCCTGACACTGGCCACGCCCCTCGTCTTCTCATTGGCTTCTCTTCCCCCCCATTTCCTCTTAACCACGCCCCGCACTTCCCCGGCAATTCTCTTTTCCACCGCCCGCCCGCCCGTTCCGCCTCGTCTTCTCCTCATTGGCCCACACGCGCCTAGCCCCGCCCCCGCCGCTCATAGCCCCGCCCTCTCCTCATTGGCCCACACGCGCGTAGCCCCGCCCTCACCGAGTGTCGCCGGGCGGCGGCCAGGGCCTTGGGCCTGAGGCGCGGCCAGGGCGTGGCCGCCGGACCTTCCTCGCGCCGCGACTTAGGCCGCTCGCGGGACGGGGCGCCTCCGCGCATGCGCTCCAGGAGCGTCGACTTGGTCCCGGACACCGGGAGGCCCCGCAGGCGCAGCTGCTGCCGGAGCTCCGAGACCTGGGGCGGGCGGGGCGGGGAGAGGCCTCGCTGGGCGGGCTCCAGGGCGCGGGACGGGGACACGCACACACACCGCTCCTGGGTCTCTCTCTCAAACACACACACACACCAGCTCCTGGGTCACACACATGCGCACACACACACACATCCCTGATCCTGGAACACACACACACACACACAACCCTGATCCTGGATCTCACACACACACACACACACACACACGCCAGCTCCTGGGTCACACACATGCGCACACACACAACACATCCCTGATCCTGGAACACACACACACACACACACACAACCCTGATTCTGGATCTCACACACACACACACACACACACACACCCCTGATCCTGGAACACACACACACACACACACACACACAGAGACACACACACGCCTGATCCAGGATCACACAGACACTCACACACACACACACACACACACACACCTGATCCTGGAACACACACACACACACACACACACACACACACAACCCTGATTCTGGATCTCACACACACACACACACACACACACACACACCCCTGATCCTGGAACACACACACACACACACACACACAGAGACACACACACGCCTGATCCAGGATCACACAGACACTCACACACACACACACACACACACACACACACCTGATCCTGGAACACACACACACACACACACACAACCCTGATTCTGGATCTCACACACACACACACACACACACACACCCCTGATCCTGGAACACACACACACACACACATACACACAACCCTGATTCTGGATCTCACACACACACACACACACACACACACCCCTGATCCTGGAACACACACACACACACAGAGACACACACACGCCTGATCCAGGATCACACAGACACTCACACACACACACACACACACACCTGATCCTGGAACACACACACACACACACACACACACAACCCTGATTCTGGATCTCACACACACACACACACTCCTGATCCTGGAACACACACACACACACACAGAGACACACACACGCCTGATCCAGGATCACACAGACACTCACACACACACACACACACACACACACACACCTGATCCTGGGTCACTCACACACACCCCACTCGGGTCTCTGATGGGGCAGAAGCCGCAGGCTGAGCCTCCTGCGTCCCCCCACGGAGGGGCGGGCAGCCTGGAGCTGCTCCCACACTCACCGTCAGCTCCTCCAGTTTCAGGGTCTGAAGCTCCAACTTGTGTGGCGGAGGCGAGGGGCTGGGGGCCCCGGGGAAACCCGCGGGGAGGGCGGTGGCCCTCATCCTGGCGGTGGTCGAACGGGTTAGAGGGCACACGGAGGAAAGGGGCTCGGGTTAGGGGGCGCACGGAGGAAAGGGGCTCGGGTTAGGGGGCGCACGGAGGAAAGGGGCTCGGGTTAGGGGGCGCACGGAGGAAAGGGGCTCGTGAAGACGCAGAGGAACCGGCCGTATTCGGGTCTCGGAGGAGCAAACCCAGGAGGCCAGGCCTGGGCTGGGAAGGAGGGGCAGGGCTCGCTCCGGTGAGGGGGGCTCAGGGACCTGCAGGGAGAAGGGCTGGGAGCCGGACTCTGGCGTCCTGGGCGAGGTGGGGTCTAGGGCCCACGCCCCTGACCTTGAACTCTGGGTGTGAAGGAGGAGGAGGAGGATTGGACTTGAATTCCCAAGTTCAGAAATGGGGGCCATAGCCGAAACCGGTTTGGCTCAGTGGATAGAGCGTCAGCCTGCGGACTGAAAAGTCCCAGGTTCGATTCCGGTCAAGGGCATGGACCATGGTTGTGGGCACATCCCCAGTAGGGGGTGTGCAGGAGGCAGCTGGTCGATGTCTCTCATTGATGTTTCTAACTCTATCCCTCTCTCTTCCTCTCTGTCAAAAATCAATAAAATTAAAAAAATATATTTTAATTAAAAAGAAATGGGGGCCATACCTAGGAGGTGGCTGCTGGGTGTTTGTCTCTGCCCAGGCAAGTGGCCGCTGAGGGGCAGCCCCGGCCGCCCCTCGGGCCTGGGAGTCTGCCCTGGCCCCTCGTCTCGGCTCGGGGGGCAGGTACTGGTGGTAAGTCAGGTTCCCCTGGGACTTGGCCTCCGTCCAGCGCTGGGAGACCTTGGGAGGCGCCTGGAAAAGCAGGGGTGATGTCGTATGCCTCAGCTCTGCTCCTCCTTCCCTGCCGAGCCCCATGTGAAGTCGGGGGTCAACTTGGAAAGAGGACCGAGGCTGGACGGTCCGGGGGGCCCTTTCCCTCACTCTGGGGGAGACTCACATCCTCCTGGGGCCTCCACGGGCAGCGCTGTGGCTCGGGGTGCAGGACCCCAGGACTGGAGAGGAAAGAGGCGGGGCCCGCGGGCGAGGCCGGGACGGGGGCCAGAGCCGGCCCGGAGGCTGAGATCCGCGGGTCTGGGTCCGAGACTGGAGGGGCGGTGAAGGGTCCTGAGAGGCCTTCGGGCAGCAAGCCAGGCGAGGAGGAAAAGGCTGTGTGGGAAGGAGGGTCCCCGAGGCCTCAGACACCCCCACCCCTTCTACACCCACACCCCCGTGTGGGGCAGCAGGACCAGGGAGGGAAAGCCAAGTGGTGGGAGCGGGGTGTCCCGACGTCTGGATGGATCTACGGGAGAAGTGCTCGAAGCCCAGACTTTCCCAGCTCAGTAAGGCAGGAATCCTGGATCTCACACACACACACGCCAGCTGAGGACCTCGGGTCTGGGGTTTGCCGGAACGGGGTGGGCCCAGTACGCCTGGTCTCGAGGAGTGAGGGAAGCCGAACGCCACATCCTGAGACTCGTGTGTGCGCCAGAGGTGGAGCCTGGGGTGGTTTCTTCTGGGTGCACGCATCTCACTGAACTGGGGACACCAGAGCCCCGAGGGGTGGGGTGCAGGGGACCTCCGGGGAGGATGGGTCTGTGTCCCCAGGGCATAGGGACTGAGGCTCTGGAACCAGCCAGGAAATCCAGCAGCTGCACTCCAGGGGCCCCCGGGGAGCGGGGGCTGGGGGTTTGGGAGTGGCGGGGACCCCATCCCCTCCCGCGCAGGGCCCACACTTACTCGGGTCCTGATACCGTCTGTGGATCCGGAGCTGGAGGACTGTGGAGGGAAGGAGGGGGTGGGAGGAGAGAGGCGGGAGGGAGTGTCCAGGAACCCGGCCTGGCAGGCGTTCGAGCTGCTGTTGTTGGCGGGATGTGCGTGCCCAGCCCCCTTACACACACACACACACACACACACACACACACACAGCCCTGCGGGCGGGTGGCAGGCAGCCCACTCCCTTTCCTGGGCCTCCCGCCTGCTCCCCGCCAGCAGAGCGCTGAGGGCCAGAGCCATTCTGGGGCGAGGTGCCAGCCAGCCCAGCGTGCAGGCAGGCGGCAGCCCTGCCCCCCCCCCCCCGACTCCACCTGCCCCCTTTAGGAGTGTGTGCCCACCCACCCCTGGCACAACCTCCGTCTTGGCAGCCTGGCCCCTGTGCACCTCGCCGCCCGCCCTCCTGGATCAGGCACTCCACTTGGCACGCCCCGCGGCCTTCTGAGCTGCCTCCAGGCCTCCCACCGTCGCCGCCTCTCACACCCACCTTCCAACACACATCCCCCTGGGTCCTAGTTTTGCACACACGCCACCTCTGTGCCCTCGTGTGTACCTTTGACACTCACTCGTCACCCGGGTCCCTTCCCCAAGCCACATCGGCACCCGTATTTTATTTGCACAGTTAGGATCCGGTCCCTGTGCACATTGCTGCTCTTGTGCGCCTGCACTCGTTGCACGGTCCTTGCTCTTCTTTTGGTTATTGTGTCTTTGCACCCATCCAACCACGGTGCACACTCATGGGCACACTCAGGGGCCTTTTGCCTACTCAGAAATTGACCTCTAGTGCCACACACTTGCATACTTTCCACCGACAGTGGGACCTAACACTCAGCGCTGACACTTGCAAGGCTTAATAGCTCACTGTCCCCCCCCACAGGCCGCTCTGAAGACTCCACTCGGTGCACGTCGCTTTGCACACACATCAGGGTAAGCCCCGGGTTCCTCTGACCCTCTGCACACCCACCTCTGTCCGCCCACTCCCCACCGTTCACAGGAGCATTGGACTAGCCATTTGCACACTCACTGATCCAGCACAGCCTGCTCCCCTTGCTGAGGCCTCCTTTCGCACAGAAAGACACAGACCTCTCGGGTCCCACCGCCCTGCTCCCACCTCACCCGGCCCTGCACGCCCCCAGAGTTAGACTGCTCCCCGGCCCCTACATCTCACCAGAGCGGAACTTGGAGCGAATGATTTGGGAGCGCTGGGAGGAAGCCGCCAGGGTCATGGCCAAGGCTGGGATAGGGACCTGGACTGGGGGAAGGCAGGACCCCACAGGAGGCGGGGTCACAGCGGAGGTCAGGAGGCTGCCCGGCACCTGGAGGACTCACAGACAGGAGGGCCTTTGGGCCACAACTTCTGGATCCTGGGGAAGGAGGAGGCTGGGCCTGGACTCCCGGGTGTGAGGGAGGAGGGGTTCGGGGCCTGGACCCCCGGGTGTGAGGGAGGAGGGGCTGGGGGCCTGGACCCCCGGGTGTGAGGGAGGAGGGGTTCGGGGCCTGGACCCCCGGGTGTGAGGGAGGAGGGGCTGGGCCTGGACCCCTGGTTGTGAGGGAGGAGGGGCTGGGGGCCTGGACCCCTGGGTGTAAGGAAGGAGGGGCTGGGTCTGAGGGAGGGGCTCAGGGCCCTAATTCCTGGACCCTGGGGGAGAAAGGACTTGGGGTCTGGGACTCCTAGGTCCTAAGAAGGTGGACACTGGGGCCCTGGTCCCCTGAGTCTTGAAAGGAAGGAAAAAGGGAGAAGGGCTGGGCCTAGAAGCCCACATCCTCAATCCAGGGGGAAGGAGCCCTGGTAGGCCCGGGGCTGGAAAAGTCTCCTCCCTCTGCATTTGGGAAGGGAGCAGACGGTTGTCAGCCACCACGGTCTGTGGGGGAGGGACTGAGTCCAGAGAGGGGACAGAAGAGGTAAGACGGGTCTGACCGCCCCCCCCCCCCAGGGGCTTCTCACCGGGTGGCTCAGTGTCGCCGTGCTCTGCAGCAGGTTGAGTCCCGAGGTCCAGGCTGGAGGCTGCGAGCTGCACCCCACCAGCCTGGGACCCCTCCCCCGCTTTGGGGGCGTGCTGGGAGTCCGTGAAGCGGGGCGGGGAGACGGGAGCCCCGCCTGGGACCGTGAGAAGGGGCGGGAGCGGGGGCTGAGAGGGGCGGGGCGGGGCTGGCGTTGGGGTTCCCGGGCTCGCTCCTCCTTCGCGTCCCGGGGCGGCGGGGCGGGCGGGGCCGCGGCGGGAGGACTGACAGCCGCAGGTGCGGCGAGTGGCGCCGGGTGAGCAGCAGAGGCAGGTGGTCGCGTCCCGACCCCACGGGCAGGTGCCACCTGTCGCTTAGCTTTTCCCTGACGCAGCAGCAGGAGTCGGGTTCAGGGGAGTGAAAAGTTCAACTGGATTCCCGGACTCCCGGGCCCTGAAGGAGGGGGAAAGGGACCTGGATTCCTGGGTTTGAAGGAACGTGGGCGGGGCCTGGGCCCCTGGGTGTGAGGAGTGGGCAGAGAGCCCAGACTTCCGGATGCAGGGAATGGGGACTAGAAGTATTGGGACTGGGCGGTGTGCCTGACCGACAGAAAGTCCAGAATGGGCTGGGGACCGACTCCTGGGTCTGAGGGAGGAGGGGGCTCGAGTATGGACTTCGGGGATCAAAATGAGCATGAAAAAAAAACAAAAAAAAAAACTGGAGGATAGCTGGTTCCCACTGGCAGGCCCGAGGGCCTGGTATTTGGCAGAGCAAGCTTACAAGCTCTGCCCCGAGATTCGTGGGAGGCCCCCGCGCTCCTGGGTTGGGTTACGTGCAAGAGGACAAGCTGAGGCCGTGGTTATAAATACCTCCTCGGAGTGGGCGGGAGCCCAGTGCCCCAGGCCAGGGCCCTGGTGCTATATTCTGCAGAAAAACATCAAAAAAACGCTTCCGGGTCTTAACAAGCGAGACATTGTCAATACCTTTATACCACAGATACCTTTATTGCTCCTGGCACTCAAAATCCCAAACCCATCTACCCACCGTCCCATCCTCTACGACCCGAAAAACTCAAACTCCCAGCATTCCAAACTACAACTCCCAGGAAGTTCTGCGCTCAGGAGGGCTCCAATGAGGAGCAATCCCAGAATTTTTCAAGGCTCGCGCGCTCGTTCGCTATTGGCTTTCAAGGAGGCGTGGCCACATGGGGTCCGTGGCGGTGATTGGCCGGCAGTTCCTGCTGCTCAAGATCCCAGAGGAGGCGGCGGAGTCTGCGCAGTTCGCGGTGCAAGGCGTCGTCCGTCACCGGCCCGGTGAGGCGCAGGCGCGAGCTGCCCAAGGGCAGGATGAGGGGAGGATGGGAGGAGAAGCTTTCGAAGATGTCCCCTGTGAGGCCGGAAACGCAGAGTTAAGTTATGAAAATGGGCGTTAGGCAGAGGACGTGACACAGAGAGAGGCTAGGCAGCGGTGTCACGTCCGAAGGAAGGAAAAACTTAAAACCCCCCAGCAACTCCTGGAGCGGGGTCCACTCCCAACAGCGACTCTCGGAGTTCCCAAGCATCATGGGAGTTGTAGTCCACACTCTAAAAGGACACCGTTGCCTGGGAAACGAGCGTTGTGGTTGGGTTCTTGGGTCCGCGAGGAAGGAAGGGCTGGAACTTAGTTTTATGGATTCCTCCGAGTGGAGGGCCTGGAGCCGGGACTCCTGGATGACGGGGAGGGCCGTTTGTAGGGGAAAGAAGCTGGGGGTCTGAACCCCTAGGAAAACAAAGAGGGAGCTGGGGGCTTGAAGTCCTGAATCCTGGGGAGAAGGGGATTGAGGTCCTGGGGGAGGAGAGGACGAGGGGTCCAAATCCTGAGTAAGGAGGAGGAAGGGGCTGGGGCTGTGGATTCCTAGGTCCCAAGGACAGAAGAAAGCTGGTAGCCCAATGCCTGTCCCCATGTCTCCTCGCCTGTGTCCACGGCGTCCCGGTCTGCAGGGAGAGGGTCCCAAGCAGGTGGGGGCCCGCGGCCAGGACCCAGCTGGTAGTGGCTGAGCAGGTGGTGGAGCTGAGCAGGGGTCAGCGTGGGGTGGTCAGTGCGTAGACTGCTCCAGGAAGCCTGGTGGGAAGAGGAGGGGAGAAGTGTGTGGTCATTGTGGAGCAGCTGAGAAATCCTAGAGAGCCCGCCATAAAGGGGCTGGAGGTAGCGGGAGGTACTGCTGTCTGCGCCATGTCTTGGGGGCACTGTGAAGCCTGGTTATCCCTGAAGACAACCCTGGAGACTTGGAGGCAAAGGCAGTTTCCCTTGCCTGGGACCAGGACCACAGGAGAGTAATTCCCACTAACTCAGTAACCTTCAGAGATAGAAACTGTAGATAACCTCTGAGCTCTGCTTCTGTGTTATCAGCTATCGCAGGATAGGGTCACAGCAGGATGTGACTAGCTGACCCCAGTCTTTAGAATGTAATCTTTAAGATTTAAAATTTAGAACAAAGGAAAATTCCTATGGTTTGAACCTTTAAAAGGGGCTGCCTACCCCTGAAACGGTGCAGTCGTGTGGAGACCACCTGCGTGTGGTGCTCTCGCGTCTGTCCTGGCCAGATATTTCAATAAATTCTTGCCTGCTTTTTTTAATAAAAAAAAAAAATTTTTAAAAATGTGATTTTGCTGCTCAGCTGGTGTTGCTCAGAAATTGAGCATCAACCCATGAACCAGGAGGTCATGGTCAGGGCATATGCCCAAGTTCCGGGTTCAGTCCCCAGACAGGATGTGTAGAGAAGGCAACCTATTAATGCGTCTCTCTCACATCGATGTTTCGCTCTCTCGCCCTCTCCCTTCCTCTCTAAAAATTAACAAAAACATTTTCTTTAAAGTGATTTGCTGTGGAATAAATGAAGACAGGAGTAGGCAGGGACGGAGAAAACGCGAACTTAGCTGTTCCTTCATAGTATTGAAGCTGGTGATGTACCTGAGAATTCATTATTCCACTGTGGCTACTTTTTGTGTCTGTTTGAAAATCCCCACACTTAATCTAGCTGGCATCGGAATCCTCGGTGTGGTCAAAGCCAGAGACTGGACTCAGATTGCCTGGGGTCAGAAACTCCAGTTTGGAGTTTCTTATCCCTGTCACCTTGTGGCAAGTCACCTTGCCTGGCTCTCCTCACCTGTAAGTTGGGGGAGATTAGCGACTACTACAGGGGCTGTTGTAATGATTCAGTATGGCAAGATTCTAAAGTACTTAGAACACTGCCTGTGCTTATTAAATGCTCTGTACACATTTGACAAATAAAAATAAATAAATGGCCGGCACTGGTTTGGCTCAATGGATAGAGCGTTGGCCTGCGGACTGAAAGGTCCCGGGTTCGATTCCAGTCAAGGGTATGTACCTTGGTTGCGGACACATCCCCAGTAGGGGGTGTACAAGAGGCAGCTGGTCGATGACTCTCTCTCATCGATGTTTCTAACTCTCTATCCCTCTCTCTTCCTCTCTGTGAAAAATCAATAAAATATATTTTTTAAATAAATAAATAAATAAATAAATAAATAAAGTCAAGTGACCTAGCCTACCTAATTATCTGTTTCCTAATTCTCTGTTTCCTTGTCTGAGAAAAAATTGTCCATTAGTAACCCACTTCATGGGGCTTAGCATTCAAACAGAAGTGCCTGGCATGTAGTTTTATGTTCAATGAGTGTGTAGTGTTTTGTTTTTAATATATTTTATTGATTTTTATGGAGAGGAAGGAAGAAGGATAGAGAGAAACATCAATCAGCTGTCTCCTGCACACCCCCTACTGGGAATCAAGCCTGCAACCAAGGCACATGCCCTTGACTGGAATCGAACCTGGGACCCCTCAGTCTGCGGGCTGATGCTCTATCCACTGAGCCAAGATAGTTAGGGCCAATGAGTGTTTAAACTACCCCATTCCTTGATCTCATACCTAACTTCCTGAGTCAGTATGTCTGAGGGTGGGGGTCCTGGAAACTATTAACCAGTCCCACTGAGATCCAGATGCAGCCCCGTTTGGATACTTGTTGGATATATCCTTTGAGCTGCCAGTGCATCTTCCATGGTGTCTGAGCTGGGACTGGGAATAACATGGAGACCCAGGGAAGACCCAAGGGCACGCTGAATTCAGAGCATGGCTGAAGAGCCAGGAGCCAGGGGTCAGGACTCACCTTGAGCAGGGAGGTGCGAGGCACACAAAGCAAGTTCACAGCCATGGAGAGTTTCCGGAAGAATTCCGTGGCAATGTCTCCCAGTCCAGCCCCCTGCAGCCAGTCCAGGACAAGGTCCAGGTTGGTCT